CATTAAGGAATCTACTCTTGAAATCATTGTTGCACTATATGCTAACTAACTGTGATGTAAATTAAAAAAATAATAACAACAACAATAAAGTGGCCGGCTTGCAGAGGAGAGGGGGGTAAAGCATAGGTGCTTTGATGGATGAGGAGGTGAAGTGGCCTGACTTGGGTAATGGGGGGTGTATAGAAAGGGCAGGGAGCTGGGGAGCTGGATTGTGGGGCCTCTGAGGGATGGGTTACAGGAGAGCCTGGAGAAATGGCATAAACACCACCCAATCTGGGCAGACTTTGGGAGCTCCCCGCCAAGCATGGTGTAGAGGCGCTGGGGCCACCGGTGCCCCTTTGCCTTGGGCTGGGGGCAGCTGTCATGGTAAGTTGTGTCTTCTTCTCACACAGCCTGAGCCTTGTGGAACTGAGATTAGCCCCAGGGACAGGGGGAGGCTCTTGGTAAATGACGAACATTAGGGTTCCTGCCAACCCTGGCGATGAGAGGAGGGGACTCCAACTAGATTTCATGTGATTTATTACTCCCTGAGTGCCATGACGTAATATGGAACTATGAATTGGGAGACGTGTGAGGTAAAAAGGGGATGGTCATAGAGAAAGAGGGCAGATTTCCTATTTATTTAGCAAGTTGAGTGGACAGGTCTTAATGGTGGATTACAAGTGGAAGGTTGGAAATTGGAGCAAAAAACCCCGAAGATGTCCACGTTTCTGACTGAGATGTGGGTCGGTCGGGGTCCATTCCCCATCCCCTTCCTCTAGATGACCAGTCCTGGCTGGGGCAGAGACTACTGATGATACAGCCTCCACAACCTGGTCCCTGTCGCCTACCACCCATCTCCCAGTCACCCCCTTCCCGCTCCTACCTGGGGGACGGTGTGGCACAGAGCAGATGTTAAAGAGGGGGTCACATCACCACTTCCTGATAGGAGTACAATCCCAGCCTGTCCTAGGTTCGGCCACAAGGGGCTCCAATGAGGCCTCGGCCCGGTCCTTAAAGGGTTCCAAGACAGGCCAGGGAGGGGTCCGTGCTCATGGGGCTGAAGGTTCCCGAGGGTCCCTCTGCCCACCCGTGCCCCAGCATGTCCCACCCGCTGGCCAGGCTGCAGGAGACACATGGAAGGCAGCAGGCTGGCGCTGGGGCTCAGTGATTCTCGTTCCAGGGCAGGGTGGGATCCTGGTTGGAAGGTTCCCAGCCAGGTTGGGGGACCCTTGGGCTGAGTTTGGGCATCTTTGGATCTGAGTCTCGGATCAGGGCTTGGAAGCAGTCCTGGGTTTGGCCCTCGGCTGGAACCAGAGACTGCCCTTGCAGAGAAACCCCCAACCTTCCCCATCCCTCCTGGCCCCCTCAGCCAGGCCCTTGGGGGCCGTGGTGTCAGTGCCCACGGAGTGGCAGGCAGCGGAGTCCTTTGTGTGGATTGGAGGGGTGGCCGCAGCAGGGAGAAGGAGGGATGGAGGCGCTGACCCGGGAGGGGAGGGGGGAGGGGGAATGGCTGCAGCTGCGGAAGGCCAGGCTGGCGATGAAGTCTGTTTCTGAGAAGGACCGAGAGAGTCCGCTTCATTTCCTGCTTTTCCCCGTCCCAGCCCTGGACAGGAGGCCTTGGCCATCGCCTCTCTCACTGGGCCCTCTTCCCATGAAGTGGAGAGCTGGAGGCGCCGTGGGCTGGACGCTTTCTGCCTCAGGATCTCCAGGCAGAGAGGTTAACAAGGGGGGAAACTGAGGGGGCTGGTGCCGGGCTGGAGCCCAGGTCCACCTGTTAGAAAGCTGAAGCCGCCAAATGCAGCAGCCTCGGTCAGGTCCTCATCTGCACTATCTCTTGACCTTTGACACTGGGCATTACAGGCCGGCTACCAAAGACCCCTGGGTCTTCTCACAGCCTCCCTTTTAAAAAGACTCCAGAGCTTTGAACTGGGCCCACTTCTCTTCCATTGGGACACTGTCACTGGGAGAGCTTAACCTCACATGGGGCTGACTCCTGGCAGCTCTTCCTTCAGGAATGGAGCCCGGGTATAGCCAGTGGCCTCCGGGGCGTCTGCTCCTGGATGTCTGCGCCTCAGGGATGGCACTGTCATTGGCCTGGCCCTTGGGAATGTGTATGTTATGGGGCTGGGTGTGTGGGCCAGAGGGAGCTCTGAGAGTAGGAAGGAGGTGTTCACGCATAACATTTGTTTAACCTCAGTGTGGGCTTTTCTCATCCACAGGGCCCGAACTCTTAGAACTCATATGGCAGCAAGCTCTGTGTTGGGCCAGGAGGAAGAATCCTCATAGCATATGTGTGTGTGTGTGCGTGAGAGAGAGAGAGACAGAGAGAGAGAGAGAGAACAGTTTCTTGGGGGCAGAAAGCCCTGGTGCTATTGGGAATGGAGTGAGGAGGTAGGCTTGGGACCAGTTGCTCAAAACACTGACTCTTTGGAAGTCATCAGTATTTCCTGTGACAGTTTCTCTCTAACAACCAAGCTGAGTTACCTTAAAGGGAATCATTTAAAAACTGTTGTATGGGGGCACCTAGGTGGCTCAGTTGGTTAAGCATCCGACTTCGGCTGAAGTCATGATCTTGAAGTTCATGGGTTGGAGCTCTCATCGGGCTCTGTGCGGACAGCTCAGAGGCTGGAGCCTGCTTCAGATTCTGTGTCTCCCTCTCTCTCTGCCCCTCCTCTGCTCACGCGCTCTCTCTCTCTCTCTCTCCAAAATAAATAAACATTAAAAAAAAAACCCTGTTGTATGTAAGTGATGAATCATGGGACTCTACTCCCAAAGCCAAGAGCACACTGTATACACTGTATGTTAGCTAACTGGAAAATATAGTTTTAAAAAATTTTAAAAAATAATAATAAAAAAAAAGAGACCTTTAAGGGGCCCTTGGGTGACTCAGTAGGTTAAGCATCTGACTCTTTGATTTCAGCTCAAGTCATGATCTCATAGTTTGTGGCTTTGAGCCCCACATCGGGCTCTGCACTGACAGTGCGGGTTTGCTTAGGATTCTTTCTCCCTCTCTCTTTGTCTCTCCCCTGCTCTCTCTCTCTCAAAATAAATAAATAAACTAAAAAAAAAAAAAACCACTGTTAAAAAAAGAGACCTTTAAAAGGGGTTATGTGCCCGTGATGGGTTTTAAAGGCCCAAAAGGAGTTCGAGTGCTCCTTAGCTGTGGTGGGGCAATGGGTGGAGCTTCCCTGATGCCCCCAGGCCCCCAGGGCTCTGAGGTTATTGTGGCCCACACAGCGGGGCAGTCTTTACAGGACTCACCTCTGACCAAGGTGCAGCTTCAGCCCTGTTGGCAGTACCCCAGCGTTCTGCCCCGGCCTGCCTCCCTCCCTCAGGTCCTCAGGTTCAGAGAACTGGTCACCTCAGCCTGGTCCCAGTCTTCTGCCCCAGAGAACTGCCACACCCCTTGGTCAAGCCCTCATGCAAATCCACTACCTTTCATTCAAGGACTTTCTAGAAGGGGCTTACCCAGGCCCTTTACCCACACCCTTCATCGCCCCTGCCCGAGCTTCTGTACTCCATGGCCACTTTCTCTGAGGAGCCTTCCTGGATGCTCCCACCATGCATTCTCTCAAGGCCACCCCTTTAGTCGTCCTAGGGCCTCATCCCACACCACCTTTTATTGCCGTAAGACTGAGGCTTCTTTCCCAATGTGACTTCCATGCCCAACGATGAGCAAGATAGAATGGGCGCTAAGTAAAAGTCTGTTGTAAATGAACGAGGCACCTCAGGCATTGTTTTAGAAGCCTTGGCCAAGCTGTCCTGCATACGGCATGGGATGAGCAGATGTTAGGTTCAACCCTCATGAGTGTCCTGGAACTCTTCTGTTTAGAGGCCTGGTTTGCTTAAGAAGCGTGACCTCTGGATGAGCTTTAGGACTGAGCCCTTGATAAAAAACTGTCACCCAGAATTACCTTGGGCCCGCTGAGCCCCTGTTCTTCTTCCCTCTTTAGGCTTCAACTCTGACCAGTCCGGAGCTCAGCCTGCTGTGGCTTGGTATCTGTTCCTAGGCATTCATGGGACCCAACCTGTGAGATAATAGGAAATATATGCATTGTTCTCCATCCCTGGTTCCTGGCACGGAGCTCCTAAAACTCTTAGAACTCCTAGATGATAGGACTGTCCTTTGTTTTAATGAGGCAACTCTTGGTAGTCTCCTGGATAGTTTCCAGATGGGTGCTGGTCACCAGAAAGACTAAGCTTGAACTTTAAGTCCTACCCTTATCCTCTGGGAATGGGAGAGGAGCTGGATATTGAGTTAATGATTGACCATGCCTACATGATGAAGCCTCCAGAGCTTCTGGGTTGCTGGAGATACTGAGAGCATGGTGTGCCTGGTGAGCGTGTGGAAACTTCATGCCCCTTCCTCCTTCTCTTCCATCCGGATGTTCATCTGTATCCTTTATCCTTTAATGATAAACCGGTAAACATAAGTGTTGCCCTGAGTTCCCTGAGACATTCTAGTAAATTATTGAACCCAAGTAGGGGGTTGTGGAAATCCCAATTTATAGCCTGCAGCCAGAAGTGTAAATAACAGCCGGGACTTCAGTTGGCATCTGAAATGGGGGTGTGGGAGCAATCATGTGGGACTGAGTCCTTAAAACCTGTGGAGTCTGATGCTATCCCCAGGGGGATAGTGTCAGAATTGAGTCAAATCACAGGACATCCAGCTGGTGTTGACTAATTGTTTTATGTGTGGTGTCAGAAGTGAAGTGTTGTGGGAGTAAGAGTGAAGGAGAGACATGGGCTTGTCCTGCCCCACGTCCTCATCATGGTGTCCTGTCCTCAGTCTTCTAGCATCCCCCCCCCCCACCCCCCATCTTACACTATCTACTCGCAGAGCTGGGAGTTTGTCAGACTCATCTGACCCAGATGGATACACGCAGAGAGTCCTGCATGCCCTCTTTTAAATGTGCATGGCGTGCACGTGTGCGTGCACGCACGTGCGTGCGCATACACACACACACACACACACACACACACACACACACACACTCAGGTAGAGCCAAAGACACTGCTGCGCCAGAGGGAACAGCTTTATTAGATTCCAGCAAGACTATACAGTACGTGTTTCATGCAGATTAAATATGTGTCTTCGCTACCCCGGGAGGGAGCACTTCCACTGCCAGATCCTTCCTTGGTGTGTCGAGGGGCGAGTATCAAGGGGAACTCTCAATGTATTCCGCATGGGGGACAGTTGGGATCATGACTGGGGGTGGAGGTGGGACAGTGGGCAGCTGAGGGCCCCTGGGACCTTGAGTCTTCAGAGGTTCAGGGACTATAGGACCTTGGTCCTTTGCTGGCGGTGACACCAGCAGGTCTTAATCTTTCAGAGGCACTGGGATTATAGGAACTTGATTCTTCACAGGCTCAGGGACCATGGGATCTTGATTCTTTGGAGGCTCTGGGACCATGGGAGCTTGATCCTTGACTAGTGCTGGGACCACAGGACCTTGATTCTTGACATGTGCCGCAAGCACAGAATCTTGATCCTTCAGAAGATCTGGGGCCACTCCACCATGATCCCTGGCTGGCTCCAGAACCAGTAAACCTTGACTCTTTACAGGCTCAGAGAGCACAGGACTTTCATTCTTCATAGGTGCTATGACTGTGGCATGTTGATCCTTCAGATGCTCTGGAACCATAGGACCTTGATCCTTGCTCAGTGCTGAGACCATGGGACCTTGATCCACAGGCTCAGGCACCATGGGGCTTTGATCTTTGACAGGCGCTGGGACCATGGGCCCTTGAGCTTTTAGAGGCTCTGGTACCATGGAACCTTGATCCTTAACTGTTGCTGGAGCCATAGGACTTTGGTTCTTCGGAGGCACTGGGACCAAGGAACCTTGGTCTTTTACTGGTGCTGCGACCATAGACCCTCCATTCTTTAAAGGCTCAGGGGCTACATGATCTTGATCCTTAACTGGTGCGGGGCCCACAGGACCTAGATCCTTCAGAGGACCTGAGACCACAGGAGCTTGACCCTTCAGAGGCTCTGGGACCAGAGGGCTTTGATCTTTTGGACGATCTTGGATCACAGGACCTTGATCTTTCAGAGGCCCTGGGTCCATAGGACTTTGATCCTTGTCTGGCTCTGTGGCTACAGGACCTTGATTCTTACGTGAGTCACTGGTGAGTTCACCCTGGCTCCTGTAGAGGAGAGAGAGGTAGTCACTGTGAGGGCCAGCACTCAGGCCAAGGATTGGGCAGAGCACAGATTGCCTGAGAAGTCTCAGCCTAGTGGAGCCTGGGCAGGGCAGCTCTTGCCAGAGAGCCGAGAGGAGAATCTGATTTCCATGTTCCTGGTACAGAACATGGAGTGGGGAGAGGGGCAGGCTCAGGAATCAGTCATTCAATGTGCTTGCCAATTGATTATAACCTGCGCGTGGCACAGCGGGGGGGGAGGGGGGGCACCTGGCTGACCAAGGCAGTGCTGTAGCAGGACTGAGAGTCCTCCTGTGGCTGTGGGCATCCCAGCAGCCCATCCACCCCACACTCCTCCAGGCCGCTCTCCCTTCCTCCATGAGAGCGGGGCCCTCCTGTGAGCCCATCTTAGCCATCCCTTGGATGACCCTAGAGGCCAGGACACTTTCCTCTTCTCAGGGCCTCCAAGCCTCTTCCCTCCTCCCCACCCCTTAAATCCCCTGTTAAGGGCTGACTGTGGAGAGGGATAAGAAAGAAGGCAGGATAGGGGCACCTGGGTGGCTCAGTGGGTTAAGCATCCAACTTCGGCTCAGGTCATGATGTCATGGTTCATGAGTTCGAGCCCCACGTCAGGCTCTGTGCTGACAGCTCAGAGCCTGGAGCCTGTTTTGGATTCTGTGTCTCTCTCTCTGCCCCTCCTCTCCCCAAATAAATAAACATATATATATATATAAAAGAAAGAGGGCAGGAGGATGTCCCTCTGACTCCTCTTCCTGCTAGGGGGAAAGTATTTTCTCATTAACATTGTTTAGGATGGCCTGCACAAGGTGATAATAAAAAGCAGAGTGGTTTTTCATTGGTTTTTCTTACTGCATTTAAATTCTCTATAGACAATGCACCACATTGTTGCCTGTGCCACTGCCATCTTTCCCGCCTTTGGTAGGTGAGTGGCAGTGACTCTCCATTCAGAGTGTGAGGAGGCCCTGCTCCCCTCCCTCTACCCCTGCTTCTGGCTCCCTCTCCTGGCCGTGGCCCCTTGCCCTCGCTTACTCCAAGGCTCTGGGGCTGATCCCCCTGCAGCCGAATCCAACCCTCTGACCAGGCTTTACTGTGCAGACACCTGCCTTGTAACCTTGGCCCATTCACATCTTGGGCAGCGGGCGACATCACTGACACATTCAGTGCCACACTCAGAGCCCGTCACTCTAGTTTAGAACACACATTCCTTCCTCGCAGGCCAGGCGTGGCCACCGGGCCAGTGTCCCAAACCCTTGCACACCTAAGCACATTCCGCTTTCCCAATCACTTCTTCTCATAGCTCATTTCAGCCACCCCATGACCCTATGAAGCATGCGGGGAGGATTGAACTACCCTTACTTGTCAGATGAAGAAACTGAGGTCCAGAGAGCACGTGATTTGGAAAGTGAAGACCTCCGTGGGCTCTAGAGTCTGGGTCTTTCCGCTCCTGGAGCCTGTTCTCCGTTCCCGGTCATGCCGGGCATGCAGAGGCTGCTCTGCACAGGGTAACTATTATTAACTCTTTTACACTTTGTAGCCAAACAGGTCTTTAAGCTTAATTACTCTACAGCATTTTAACAGTTCCCTTCAGCTTTTAGGACTATGTCTTACCTGCTTATGAAAGCTGGTCCAATAAGACCCCTACTTGCTAACACTTCCATCGTTCCTGACGGTTTCATCTCTATGGGCCTCAAGTTTGTCATCTATTTCATTCGATATAATATTTACTCAGAAGTTCATGATCAGAGGTCATGTACACAGAGCATCTTGTACCATGATATTACTATGCAATATTACAATTATTTTTCTATTTATGGGGTGGCTGGGTGGCTCAGTTAGTTAAGCAATGGACCTTTGGTTTCGACTCAGGTCATGATCTCATGGTCATAAGATCGAGCCCCATGTCAGGCTCTGTGCTGATAGCACAGAGCCTGCTTGGGATTCTCTCTCTTCCTCTTCCTCTGTCCTTCCCCTGTTCTCTCTCTCTCTCTCTCAAAACAAATAAATAAAAAGTTAAAAAATTATTTTCTATTTACTTAGAAGTCAAGTTACACATATCTGGACTATTTTTATTCTAACATGTCCTCCTGATCCAGGAGCTTTTTACTGTATTTAGCATCTTGAACTACCTAGGGGCCTATTTCTCTCAGCAGAGTACCCAAAGGCATGGGCAGACTCTCTGTCAATCCCTCTGGATGTTTCTGAGCATTGCAGTGGACTGACAGAGGTCAAGGTGGCTTGTTAGCTCAGCATGACACAGAGCACAGTTTCTCTGGCTAGCTGGACACAGCTGGCTGCCATCAGTGGGACCTTAACGTTTGCAGGGAGAGCCAGGCAAAGCCACTGGAAGTATGGCGAATCCAAAGATGGCATTAAAATACATCTAATACTTGATGGCTGGCCAGAGAGGAAATAAAAACCACCTAATTCAGAGTAGAACCAAGTAGGAAGTGGATTGGAGGAATCCTATCAGATAGTGAACAACCTGGGTCGTGCTGAAGGAGAGACTGACCTGAGGGAGAAGACACAAAAAGTGACAGGGCTTAGCTTGATCTCTGGAGCTCACCCTGCAAAACCTACCTCACTGGCAGCACATAGACTTAGCGACCCTGGCTGGCATGGAGATGAAACAGGGGGGCCTGGCTGGCGTGGAGATAGAACGGGGGGGGGGGGGCTGGCATGGAAATGAAACAGGAGGTCCTTGACTGGCATGGAGATATAATGGAAGGGGAAAATGCATTTCCCTGGATATTTGAGGCCCTGGCCCCCGTGCCATGCTCACATTTCTGTTGAATGAGCCTCTTAGCCACCTGTGAGCTAACCCCGTGTATAGCCCTAGATTGCTTTGGCTGGTGAAGCTGTTCCTTAGTAAGTGTCTTTACTCATGGGAAGGTTTAGAATGAAGATTAGAAATGATAAAATTGATAAACCAAATCTACAATATTATCCTTTTTGGGTATTAAGTTAAGGAAAAATCTATGTAGATTGATTTTGAAAATATTTGTGATGTTAAAAATAATTTGGCATATTAGAATATCTAACATTAGCTTTGTGATTCCAATATAAAATGTATAATGGAATAATTAATTTAGATTTGCAATTTTAAGTTGAAAGAAGACAATTTTATAAGTTTTAAAAACAATGATGGAACTTTTATGATAACCCAATAGTTTTTTAAGTTTATTTTGTTTTATTTATTTTTTAATGTTTATTTATTTTTGAGAGAGAGAGAGACAGAGTATGAACAGGGGAGGGGCAGAGAGGGAGGGAGACACAGAATCTGAAGCAGGCTCCAGGCTCTGAGTTATCAGCACAGAGGCCGATGTGGGGCTTGAACCCACAAATTATGAGATCGTGACCTGAGATGAGGTCAGATGCTTAACCAACTGAGCCGTTCAGGTGTCCCAGTTTGTTGTAAATTACTTGTAATTTAATTTAAATTATTTTTAAGGGAACTGAATTAATTACGTTATAAAATCCCCCTTAAAAGAGACTGTTGAATTTTACTAGATTTTTAAAATGTATTACTTTTATAAATTAAGCATTCATTTTTAAAACCAAAGCAGCCTTGGGGCACCTGGCTGGCTCAGTCAGTGGAACATGTGACTCTTGGTCTTGGTGTTGTGAGTTTGAGCCCCATGTTGGGTGTAGACATTACTTAAAAATAAAGTCTTAAAATAATAATAATAATTAATAAAATCAAAGCAGCCTCAGTTGGTTTTCCTATGGACAGAACCACCCTCAAGGACAACATAAAACTCTCATTGACACTGACTGGCCATCACGTGGCTCCACAGCGCCTCGCCAGTCTCCCCATCTATAAAATGCCCTGCCATTCCCAGTAAGGCCGCCAGAGGCCGCCTGCACAGTGCCGCCTATGTGAATGATTCTAAGTTGCACCCTCAGCCAGTCAGCAAGGTGAGACGGGCTGGATTCAGCCCTGTCGGCCCCCAGGCCAACTGTCCTTGGTGTGGGCATGTCCTCGGGCACGGCCCCACCTTCACAACCAAATCTGGAGCCCCGAGCCAGCTGCAGACCTTTTCAGGACAGCACATGCCAAGGACCCCCTCTGCCTCCCAGCCTGCACATCCTCTCTGAAACAAAAAACCTGTTGGGTTTATCTTGAGGCTTCTGTGCTGTTTATTGCCTGCAAGATTTTGGGCAATGACTCAACCACTAGAGACCTCAGTTTCTCCACTTACAAAATGAGGATAACAATACAAATGTCAGGAACTCTTACAACAGAGGATCAGATGATCCTGTTGGGCAGGGACGTGAAATCACAATTCTCGAGATTTCTTAAGAGTACTTTGGTGCATCACGTGGTTGAGTCCATTCCCATGAACTGTAGTAACAGCTTACTAAATGCTCACATCCTCCTTACTTTAGTTCACTGGGCCCTTGGGGGAGCCCTGGAGGAAGGCAGGGAGAGGGGTGACCCGCCCTGTAGCCTCACTCTCCTGGCACTGTCCTCTGGCCAGCCTGTGCTGTTTTAGACATTCCCAGGGCTTTGTTTCTTGCTTCTGCCTCCTGGATTGCCCCCCTTTACCCGCTTCACCCTGTCTGGCTTTGACGGTTCAGTTCAGACCCCACTTTCTCCCAAGGTCCTGGTTGCATCTCTCCAAATGAGCTTCCCCTTGCCGCACCATTTTACAGTCTCTCCCACATTCACAGATGCCGCAATTAATGTCAGTTTCCCCCAGTGTGACCGTGAGCTGCCTGATGGCAGGGACCATCCTCCCGGCCCAGTTCCCAGCACAATACCTGCCACAAAGAAGGTCAAACAGAAAGATTTACTAATTATTGCTCCTGAGACCTGGTTCATCATTCATCTCATGACCCCGGCCAGAAACTCAGAGTTATCCTTGATGCCTCCTTCTTCCATAAAACCTTCACCTAATCCATCAGGAACCACACGTTCCAGCTCCTAACATTTATCTCTTGAGTGTTCCCACTTATTTCCCTCCTTTTCTTTCCTCCACCAGCTG